GCACTACGGAATGCCATGCCAAACTGTCCAAAATGTCAGAATGCAATTTATAATTGCTTTTAAAAGAATGGTCAAAGAGCTAGTTCACACTTTTCATTGAAGAATGTTGAAAACAGTTTTTAGGTTACATTGACATTCTTGTATGGACAAAAAAAAAAAAAAATCATTGAGACATTTCTCAAAATATCTTCTGTTTTTACAGAACAAAAAATTATCCATATAAAAAAATAAAGTAAAAATAACAAAAGCGTTTAATGTTGTTTAAGTGTCTATGTGGTGTTTTAAATATGCTTAAAGACAAACCATGTGCAAATTCACAAGTCAACACCATTGCTGAGTATTTTCTCTGTAAAACTGCAGTGAACAAAGTGTTACGAAATCGCTTGTGTTTCTGACATCATTCTGATGGATCTCTGAGCTGCTGCGAGTGAGTGGAGGTGGGGCTAATTTGCATATTCATAGAATCTACTAAATTGAGACAAGGTAGTTACATTTAAGCTATTTCTAAGACGTTTTAAAAAAACGTTTAAATGTGTCATTTTGGTGATCAAAGATCAGTTTAGGAGATACAATTATTGACTACAGGGGGGCTTTAAATAAAATACAAAATAAATACACTAATATACTAATATAAATTTGATCACTCACAAAAATCAATGATGTTGATATAGAAATATTTCCAATTTATGTTCCTTGCAACAAAAAAATAAATAAAAAATACATTGCCACTTTTAAATGGCAGTCAATAGAAAAAGATCTATTAGCTGGGGATATGCTAACTAGCTAACATGCTAACTAGCCAAACCTTGACCTCTTTAGTTAAAGTTAGCTAAAACGTCTATATGTTATTGTGTACAACTAGCTACCTGAATTATAACACTTTAGGCACTGACAATTGAGGTTTGTTAGCGCCCACAGTAATGCATTTTCTGTACAAAAATAGCACACATTTGTGAGTAGAGAATATTTGAGGCCTAAACCACAATTTCTTCACAAAATAACAGAGATCAAGGACAATCACTTTCTTCTATCTAGAGTGTTCTCCAGCCAGAAATGCCCCAGTACTATGACCTCATGTTCTGGCTCTAATATATTTGGAGTGGAAGGTGTGTTGGAAAAGTCGAGCTTTCGCGAAACACTCTGGTGTGAGTCAGTGAGTTATGATGATGGACTCCACCTCACACCCATATCCCATCAGGGTCCAGGTCTTGAATCAATCACACAGTGTTCCAGGAGTAGGTAATGACTCCATCTACAGCGGCACAGACATCTACATCCCGTAACAAAACAACCTGCCAATATCTGCATGGATGGAACGGCCATTACCTGCCAGTGATACCACTAGCAACACTTTCATGAAACATGGCATTAAAAGGAAATGGACATTATGTCCTTCAGACAGCTGCACTGCGCATTTACAACATTTGCTAATACTCCAAATGAAGTCATGTCCATGAATTTTGATGGGTGGCTGGGACAAGTTCACACCCATATGCTCTCAATCTCCCTGCACAAAGTTCAACAAGTTCTCTATGAGGTAATGAATGATTCTCCTTAACACTCTTCCGTACAAAGAACAAACAAAATATACAAGTCTTTTGGGGAGGAAGCTGCCTGTAGTTGGTTAATGTCATGTTGCAATAACATTTCCCTTCTCCAAATCTCTGTTTCATCTATGAGCAAACTGAGGTTGCGCACAGCTCAGTCAAGAGAGGGCCGTCGCCCATAACAGCTGCCGAGGTGGGACTGACACCGACCCGCATGCTCACATAGCTGACATTCAGGAGATAATCAACTTAAATAACCAGAAGTCCATGCGGTACAGTGCTCTGAGAGTCAATATGTCTGAGAAATAGCCTACAGGCAATCCAGGCTTCACAACTAGCAGCCGAAATACATTCTTTGATGGCAGGAATCAAATCATCTTTAAATGTGTGTCAGCTCAGATTGGATTCACAGAGAATGGCTTTTCTGGCTTAAAAATATGTAAAAGTTAAATATCATAATAAATTGAGACGAGAGTCTTGTTTATTTTGTCTTTTTTTGACACCAATCTCAATATCTGTGCAATTTGCCACTGCATCTGAGTAAACACAGTTCTCCTGACCAAGTCTTTTCTCAAACAATAGAACCACTTGCAACCAGCACATTAAATTTAGTTTTAATAATAATGCTATTATATTGTGTAACACCACACTGTACCTAGATCAGCAATTATTAAACACATATAACATGATAAAGCACCAACTAAAGCAGCAAACTATATTGATGAGTAACATTTAACCCATTTAAGTAAGTCTAAGACGTTTCCAGTTGCAGACTCATTCGCATGAACATAAAAGTTGCAAAATAACGACATAGAAGGCACTTTTTTGTTTTTACATGAAGATGAATTAAAGTCCCCGTGAACCGGAAGTTGCAAACGATTTTTCTCCAGTGCTGTGACGTATTTCCAAGTGAAACGGAATATTGAACAGAGGGCAGGGTTTTACTCTAGCGCTCCTCCTCTCCATCTGTCGCTCATAGCAAACTAACCGTTTGAGGGGAGTGGTTAAGCGTTTCCCCACACAACAATAGAACCACTTGCTGTGAAACTGTGAAACCTACGTCATCAGAAAAAGAAACCGTTCCAGACCGGAAGTAACTTTTCAGATTTTGATTAAAGATTACTAAGGTAAAACATTTTTTTAATATATATTCACTTGCACGGATTAATTGTTCACCACAAGACTAGACATGCGCTAACAAAGTAAATAGGTTCAATTTTGATTTCACGGGGACTTTAAGAATACGTATAAATTCTCAACTCTTATTAAGTATATCTTATACAAATATAATTTGTTAGTCAAATAATAATTTATTTTTAGGAAGAAGACTTTTATTTTGGTATGCCGAACTCAATCAATTTAGCATAGCTATTTGTTATTTTGACATTTACAAAGCCACTAAAATATGGATGGCAACTTTATTGGCATAAATATAGAGGCTGTATAGGAGCAGTGTTGCCAACTATTTTTAATGGAAAGTAGCTAAAGCCTGCTCAAAAAGTAGCTAAATGTTACTAATGACATAAACTGTAAGCAATTTACATCAGTTTTCTACCCTAATCCATGCTCACATCCTGTATTTTAATAAAATATATAGATGAATGTCCAGTGAAGCTGTTCTCATTTACATATTTTCTGTCAGAAAATGGAAAGAATATGATATAATGATTGGCTATGTTAACCAGTAGTCCAGAAAGTCACTAGATTTATTTCAAAGTTGCTAATGGGATCTGAAAAGACTCTAATATAGCGACAAAGTCATAACACAAGTTGGCAACACTATAAGACAAATATAGTAGAAAAGAAATATGGTATGGACAAATATATAGTACTCCTAGAAATCTATAGGTAGAGCCTTCAGCCACTTTATAATACATTTTACATAATATATTTGTGTGTGCTGTGTATAATTATTTTGTATATATAAATACACACACATGCATGTATATATTTAAGAAAATGTATTATTCATATATATATATATATATACACATATATACACACACACACACACACACACACACACACAATATTTACATGCAAATATTCTTAAATATATACATGCATGCATTTATACATACAAAATAATTATACACAGCACACACACACACACATATATTAGCGTATATAAACACAAACTTTTATTTTGGATGCGATTAATCGCAATTAATCTTTGCACAGCCCTAATTAAAAGCAAACAATATGTTGAAATCAGTGATCAAATCTGCAAGCACAAGAATATTTGTGCATACAAACACAACCACGTGGGTCTACCATCCAAACCCGCCATTTTAATCTGTCATACGGATGAGGTTACACCACTTCCTGTGTCAGTTAGCTTGCAGTCATACTTTCTTTCTAACTTGAGACAAGGGAGGCAGTTTCAAGGCAATATAATTCTTTGGTCAAAACGCAATTCAAAGAGTCATTGAGACCAACACAAGCATACAACTGCTACTGATGAGAGCAGCCTCTGCAAACAAGCTTATGTAATTATGATTGATGAAGGTTTGCAGGTGGGGTGACAAATCTGAATGACAGCCACAGCTATGCTTTATTCATCTTTCACCCACTGACTCCAAACTCATATATGAACCAGACAAATACCTGCTGAGAGGAATATGTGGAATGTAAACCATCAATTATCTCTCAACCAAGGTTCCAGAAATTGCAAAGCACAATTAATTTGTTTGCAGTAGAAACATTATGAATTTAAAAGAATAAAAACTGCACTAGCAATAACTTATTTTTAATCCAAACATACTGTCTGTAATTTTTAAAAACAAAACAATATAATGTAGCCTAGCCTACAATATAATGTAATATTTAAATGTGTACCCTGGATTCAAAACGCCTGACACCACAAAATACGATTTAAAATCCAATTTAAAACTGAAAAGAAACGTTTTATGATTTGTAAATTTTCAAAGAAACGTTATGATGTAAAATGAATAAGAAATTCAAGAAGATTTAAGAAACTGTTCAATAACAATCATGTTTCACACAAGGGAATTCATGCATATTTAGTGCAGCTGTCATTAAAGCAAATGAACAAGCCAATATTTAGGCATTTTTTTAAGTTAATGCAAATATTTACTTAAAACGGTAAGCTGATTAGATAATTTGAACAGAAAATTTATTAAAATTATTCAAATGCATAGTGATCACATGTTTGAACCCCACTATAATCAAGACGGAATACCGCTCAATGCAGTTATATCTATGGCATCTATAAAAGTTGATGCTTTGACGTCTTAAATCATCTCATAGACTGGAATGCAACAGATCAAGTTGTTGTCTAGCCTACTCTGTAGTAGTAGCCTGCCAGACAGTGATGAGCAGCCAAGGAAATAAACTTTCAAAGTGCGTGAAAAAAACAAACAAACAAAAAAAAAACAATCGCAACAACAAACAATGTTCATAGCAGACATGAAGCGAAAGCTTATTTCATACCTCCATCTTCCAGCGCTGTTGGCGAGTTCTCAACTTATTATCGCTGTTTTGGTGTGACACTTGCTGAAGGAACCCGCGCGCTCTCTCCTCACATGAGCGCAAAGTGTGCACGCGCTCTCAGAAGTCAAGAGGGTGGTCTTTAGTTATATTTAGGTCTGACTCTTACAACATTTCCACGGTCAAAAGTCTGAGCCATGCACAACAAGAAGAGCTCTTGCAGAGAATTGACCTGCAGTTTTACACATATTCCCAGATAGATTACAAAAACTAGGCCTACTAATGAAATATCTGTGCTGCTGTAAAAATAGCCTACCGTTATTAGCATAAAAATACCAATGTTCACTATTGTTAATGTTTTGCAAACAAAAAAGCACAAGGTGTTTTATACAAACAACAGGACTTGATAAATATGATTAAAATTATGTTTATGACTACACACATCAGTCTACCATAAAACAAAAACAAACAAACATTTATTCTACGCTGTGCAGGTCGCCCCCTCATGGGCGCAGTCATATTTACATCACATGATGAGCCAGATCACAATCGAATGCGTTTAGAATGCCTGAAGACACCTGTATAGTTTCAGTTGCAGTTAACATCCACTATATTAATATTAAGAGTTTCTTATTTCAATGTTTCATCCAACAACTCATTTTTTTCACAAGATACAAATATGAGGCCTTTGAGCTTTTACAATCTCATAGGACACTGATTTTAAAACACTGACTAAAAAAATAGAGCTGCATCTAGACAGCTTGCATGTACAATGGCAGAAAATATGCACACGCAATACCCCAAAAAACTGTAGCTCGCCACAAGTCTTCGAGGCACAACTGTGTTGATGTTGAGGACGTTATCTAGTCAGCATGTATCATAATACCTTCTGTAAAAGAACATTGGTTTAGTGACATACTTCCATTTATGGATGAAATGAAAAGAGGAAGAGTTTTTTTTTTTACTGACCTAAGACTAACATGACAAACAAAACAATCACTGTGGAAACGGTTTCCATGCCATTTTTTATTTATATAGACTCTCCAAGGATTGCATCTTGATTTTTTAATGCAATCCACATAAAACGCACTTCAAATGAACTCACTTTGACCATGACATTTTGAACATGATAAGATATGTGCAGAAGATGTGAAAAAGATCAACTGATTTCCACCACTGAGCTTCCTCATTTAAATCTAATAAAAAAAACAGCACAGACATCTACCACAAAACTATATATATAAAAAAAAGTGGCAGTATGTAAACCTAAAAAGCGGAATGTGTGCAGTTTTAACGTGGTGACAAGGAGAGCTGCAAGAAACAGGTGTGTGCTGAAAGCCACATGCTTTGCTTGCAGTACTTTAACTTCCTGACCACACAGACTTGAGACACTGTACGTGCCAAAGATGCACAGAGAACAAAACCTCAGTAAAGGTCCAACATAATTTAAGCCACTGAAAATAAACATTAAAAACATTACGCTATAATATGCTTAAATATTAGCATGATAATTCAACACCATAACAATGAGGCGGTGTTCATGCTTACAGTGATTTACATTAAAAGTTGTCTTGCAGTCATTCATTTTCACTTTTTATCCTATAATTCAGACTTTTTTTCACAGAATTGTGAGTTTAAAATTGTTGTCGGCTAGCAACTGTGACAGCTGCTGTTGATGAGTGACAGTAACGCTTGTAGCCTACTAACATATAATCGCATCCTGGTAAGAATATACAAGTCAATATTTGAATTGCTTTAAAAGTGTAATTCTCATCGGTTTCATACTTCATTTCATGGGAAACAAAGGACGCCGCATTTAAAGGAGCCTTTGATTTGGGACAGCCTTCATCATGCCGCTGTGACACAATCGGCCTTAGAAGGATAAAGCCTCTGAATTGGGACGCAGCAATAAACTTTTCGCAATTTTATATCATGCGATTCTAACTTTGTACAATGCAATTGCGAGTTTATCATCACGCAATTCTGAGAAAAAAAGTCAGAACTTAAAGATGTAAACTCGCAATTGCTTAAAAAAGTCAGAGAGATAAAAAGTCACAATTAGCTTAATTATTTTTTTTATTCTGCGGTGGAAACAAGCTTCCAGACAGTGATCTGCTGCCTCATTTAAAGGGGTGGTTCAGCATTTTGGATATCGGGTCTTAACCAAGTTAGCCTTAGTGTTATTTATCAGTGGAGACCGTTTTCGAAAATTGTTCCAGTTGCATAGTTCGACGGCGCTAGGCTAGCGCGAGTCAACGGTAACTGCTAGACTGCCTTTAAAAACAGTTTTAACCACTCCACAGTACACCAAAAGCAACTAAATTATAACGCCAGACTATCGATGTAAATGTCTGTTGAGAGAATAATGTTAGAAATCTTTTGAACATTTTTGTTAAATGGTCTCCATTGATAAATAACACTAAGGCTAACTTGGAAATAAGGCCCGATGTCCAAAATTCTGAACCACATCTTTAAATTAATATGGAGTGGCAAAATAACTTTATAGAAATTTTAAAATAAAATTAACACTTTGTGCAATACAAGTTAAGCTTAATCGACAGCTTCTGTGCTATATATATATATAAAAGTTATTATATTTAGAGTACATTCAAGTCCTTCTGGGAAATTCGTATTTACAAATAGGGAAGTCACAATTACAGCTTTAGGCGAGTTCAAATCACAATGGACGAAGCGAAAAAAAAATAGCACATACTGTATATACAGTATATTGCTATATTGTTATATTGCTAACTCTACTTCTCTACTTCTACAAAATGATGAATAATCAATCTGCATCAGGTGTGTTTTGCTTTTTCAAGCTTTAATTCAATCTTGGAAGGTGCAGTAAATCGTAATTTTACAATACTACACTATTTGTGCATGCAACTTAGCTGCATCTAGAGTTCCCCAATCTTTGTGGTGACAATCAGGCCAAAAGGATTTAAAGCTTTTAATTATATAAAATCATGTTTATACTTTTGTTAAAACTTATTTGAGCTGTAAAGTTGTTCTCGTAATTATTATGGTAATTTTAGGGTTTATGGCATTGCTGTGTAAAGGTGATAAAGTTGTCCAAATTTTCTTTACACAGCTCTTTCATTCATAGCTATTGAATCATGTTAAATTAGCCTCATTCACTTCCATTGCCAAGTAATAAACAAGAATTAAGCTTTTTTTAAAGAAAAATTAAGGAAAGTCATAATTCATGTGGTAATCAAAATTATATCGATTGAGCTTAACTTGTAACGAGCCCAGAAGATTCCTTTAAACACTGTCAGTTTAAGCGTCCCTAATGCTGGGGAGACACTTAACGACAAGCTGAAACATTCTAAGACTTTTACAGAGTTTCCGACGAGTGCAGCAGATTTTAAACACCAACTGTGTGAACATCGACTGAACGCAACTATCTCTGATGCGTCACGTTTGGGCATTATCAGTCGTAAGTATCAAACACTTGATGCTTGAAAATCCTAAATCTTAAAAGGCCAGTCAGTCAAAACATATGACCTTCTCATGTTGTATATCTATTTCTGAAGTACCCAGAAGAATGAGGTACTTCTGGTCTGTTCTTTGTTATCTGTCAAGCCTTATTTCATTTAGTTCTGTAAAACCTGTAACTCTTCCTGCTGTGGGTTTCTCCCTGGAGCACAAGCGCTACTTTTTCTTCCTCCTGTCCATTTAGCGAAGAAAGATCGGGAATTTTCCCCAGCGAAGAAGAAAAGGATAGGGTCCAGACAACTGTTAGCTGTACACAAACAATGCGCTACAACAGCAGCCTTGCGGACTACCAAAATATAGTCACACGAGTCTCCGTATCCGTTCATCTTGACATGCTTCTCAGCTGATAAGAAGATCGTCCGCACTACGTGATAAGGCAAAAAGCACACCAGAAAGATCCCAAGGCTGATGATGACCAGAGCGCACGCCTTCTTCCTGCAAGGTCTGGTCCTGCCTAGTGCAGGGCTTGGCCTCAGAAGATTCTTTGCGACGAAGACAGAGCAGAAAAGGATGACCACCAAGGGCACCACAAAGCCCACTGGAAACGTGACATTGTTGATGAGGAGCAATTGGTCCACGTTGTCCACCGCCAACTCCAAGCATCGAGAACTGCCCTCATCTTGAAGTCTTTTCTTAGTGAACAACAGCGGACAGCAGGCTAAACCCATCAAGACCCAAATGAGGCAACACACGATACCCGTGACGTAGTGGGTCTGTATGCGTACGTACAAGTACGGCCGTGCCAGCGCCAGGTAACGCAAGACGTTCAGGGCAACTAGGAAATACACTGAGCTGTACATGTTGAGATAATACACGTACAAAATGAGTCGACAGGCGACGTGACCGAACAGCCATTGAGAGTTCTGCATGTAGTAAGTGATCCTCAGGGGCAAAGAGCACACCAGCATCAGGTCTGAGGCCAACAGGTTAAGCATTAACAGGGTAACTGGAGTGAAACTCTTCTGGGTCCTCCATTGGCTGAAGAAGACGCAGAGAGATAAAGAGTGGCCGACCAGTCCGAGGACAAAAATCAGAATGTACGCTGTAGGGTACACTAGGCGTTTGAAGTCATACGTGTTATTGAGGCCTGAACAGGAGATGTTTTCCCAGAGCCCTGGAACAGACAGATTCATGTCCTTCCCTGTAGAAAGATGACAAGATTTAATGACTTAAAACAAACAATTTATCACCACTTCCCCTTCCTCACCCCCCTTCCCTCCCCAAAAGTAATTTATTGGCATCTGTGGGTCCATGACATCCATGGAAACTTTCCATTGCATTCCATTCTTTATAGTGGAAGAAAGCTCTTTAGAATAAAATATTCATCACGCTAAGAAAACATCGGTTCTTCCAAGAACTGTTCAAACAACAGTTATTTGAGGAGTCTAAAATGGTACTTTTATTTCATCACTAAGAACCCCCCTTGGAACCCCCTTTTTTTAAAGAGTGAAGTGCTTTGTATTCTTACTGGAAGTTTTACAGTATGTAGGATTTGCAATTCACTTTCTCATTGTCTTCTATTTTCAAAAGCTGTTCAACAAAACAGGTTTTTCTAGCCAAGCACAGACAATCTCCGTAACAAACCCAGTTAGTAACATGTCTTTTACAAAAGAACCCTAATATCAAATTTCTTCTCAACTAGTATTTATCGAGAGACACATTTAACAGCAAACATGAAAAGCAAGACTTTACCTTTTCTGCAGTGTGATGAGGTGAAATCAGGTCTTCCAAAAGCACTCAGTTTTGTCACAAGCTCAACCAGCCCAGCATTGTCTGCTACTGGAGGAGATGAGATACAAAACACAGTAGGAGGAGGATGTCCCAAGAACGACCTCCCCATCATCACTTGAAAAGGTCTGATTCACTTCCTTCTCTAAGAACAAGAGCCATCCTATAAAAGCACTTGTTACATGCATTGTTCAGTATGGCAGTTCTGTTAATGGCTTTAGATTCAAAGTGTTTTGAATACTGTCCTGATATAAAGCATGTATGAAAGGTCCAAAGTCCAAAGCTTATCTTTATTTGTTAAGTGCCATTTAGATGCAAAACACTAAAACACTGGTTATTCTGTTCAGTGCACAACAGCTTTAAACCACAAAAACTTATGCAGAGGTGCATTTTCCCTCACATTTTTTCTGTTCCTCTGGTTAAATGTAATTTAAGCCACTCAGTTGTGCTGCCCTAAATCTTCTCTTTGATCACAAGCACTTCTAAAGATGAAGTACTGATAACCTTTTTAACAGAAGCCACAGCTGACAAAGCAGAGCCTTTGTGAGCGTCTATGACGATAGCAGTATATTAAAACCCATAAGTTATGTGCTGGGGAAATTTAAATGAACAAACTGCATTGAACTTCAGCTTCTGCCTTTAAGTTCCAGTATTTGAGCGACGATCGATCATACTGAAGATTAAAATTAATGATGCACGTATGAAATCATTTTTGCATCCCTGCTTCCCAATCATTTATTTCATAGTAAAAAGGAAGCCTCTGCCAAAAGATGATTGAGACTACTAAAATTCGCAAGGCATCTACATGCTTGCTATTTTCTGACAAACAGCATTTCGGTAGGGAATAAATCTGCGGGCACTTATTGGCCTAAACAGAGCCAATTAAAAAAACTAAACAGTGTGATTAATCATTTTATCACCATGCGCTATGGCCACTCTCAGTTTGGGGCAACAAGAAGCAGGCAAAGGTGCCACAGTCCTCCTAGAATCAACAACAGGACACTTGATTTTTCTTAAACAACTCAGTTGTTAAACTTTTGAGGCATTACATAATTTTTCAAAAAGAACATTTGAGGTATAACATAATTTCTTCAAATATTAGTAACAAAAGCTCAAAAATATTCTTAAAATTCAATAGCAAAAATAACACCGCGGCCAAGCAGAACATAAAAAGGTCAGACCGCACATATGCACATCCACTCATGCAGCAATCACATCCTAAAAACCTAGTAATGCCTAAACAGCAACACATTTTATAATACAATCTCCAAATTAAATCCATTTACTTTTATCACACAAAATAGGGAGTCCTCAAAGATATGCTTTGAGAAAGCCCATAAGCGGGGTTCACATCTGCAAAAGATGTGATGTCTTTACCTAAAACATGATTAAAAGGAAACATTGGTGTCAAATTTGATCTTAAACCCTGTCATTCACAATTTCCTGAACAGCAATGAGGAAAAGCAGGAAGCTCTAGAATTAATGGAAAACACCACCAAGGAAAAAAATAAAACACACAGAAAACAATAAATTATCATCATGACACACTAAACCCGCCAGTTTTTTGTTTGTAGATCAATTAAGGAGGTTTGCTTCATGTTATTACCTCGATCACAATGTCAACTTAACAAAACTCTACAAAGCAAAGAATAAAATCTCTTTCATGGACGCTCGCATGGTTAAAACAAATCTAAAATGAACTAACACAGGAAAAGCACCTGTGCTATTTCAGGAAATGCAGTGCACCGCTTAATTACTAAAACAGGTGAAGAAGTCTAAAATGTAGTAACGTAAAACACCCGGGGGTGTCAGCCTTTCCCGTTCATGGTGGAGTGCTTTTCCTCAGGCAGTACAGAGCCGATTCATTTAGGGCTCTGGATGCTCTTTAACAGACTCCTCTTTCAGTTTCTGTTCCTGCATACGAGTACGTGTCGAACCTGAAGAGACGAGAACAAATGTTTAAGCAACAATAGCATATCATGTGATGTTAAATTATATGCAACAATGACTATGCCATTTTGCTATGGTTCTGAATCACAGCAATGCATACAATAGCATGAATTAAGCTGAAGAGAAGTTAAGTTTTATTCATTGAATATTTAGCTAGAAAATATGGGATTCTTGTAATTCTTAATTATTATTAAAAGAAACACTATTATTCAAAAGGTTTGGGGTCGGTAAGATTTTTTTTCATGTCTCGTATTCTCACCAAGACTGAATTTATTTGAACAAAAATACAGCAAAATCAGCTATAATGTGAAATATTATTACAATTTAAAATACCTGCTTTTTTATTTTAAAAAAATAGTTCCAGTTAAAGCAAAGCTGAAGTATCAGAAACAATACTTCAGAAATCAATCTAATTTGCTGATTTACTACTCAAACATTTCTTATTATTATCCATGTTGAAAACAGCAGTGCTGCTTGATATTTTTTGGAAACAGGGATTTATTTTTTTCCCCAGGATAAATAAGAGCAAAGAACAGCACTTGGGACAGGGGGGACCAAGAACCAGTCAGAGGTGGCCAATGGGAAATCAGAAAATTGAGATCACTTCCGGGGCTTTCCGGCGCGCTTGCACAAATAGAAGTGCCCTCGCCCTCAGAGTACTTTGACGTGACTGTAATTACAAGAGGTAAAAACGATATAAATACTGTTCGTTTTCTCACACAAACCGCTCGTTTATTGTCTTAGGCCATCAATGTGTACTTACATTTACGAGTCATTAAATCATGTTTAATTTGGACTTCTCTGTGCATGATCTTTGAGGTGGACCCCATATATGACTGACATACAACAACGGTTTGACCTAAAAATATCCAAATTGAAAATACTGTGGAAACAAGACACCTACATCTAGGATGCCCTTGATGTAAGCTAAAACATATCAAAAATTAATTTCAAAGTGAACTATACCTTTAATTTCGTTTTTTTAGAAAATTCTAGAAATTATCCATTTTGAAAAATAAAGTTTAAACAATGGTATGCAGCCGGCCGCTGGCCTGGTTGATTCAGCCGACAAATTGCAAAACTGTGGTTTTTTTCAACAGAAGTAAGTCAACGGAAATAAAATTGAGAAACAAAATTGAGAAACAAAAAAAAAAAAAAGCTTTGTCACTTATTTGATTTTCAATTAAATATCAAATCAATGTATATAAGGAAAATAAGTCTGCAAGTGAATATTTCACCAGACTAAAAAACGAATAAAGAAGAAAGCATGTTTTAGTTAAAAAAAGAATAAGGAATGGATGCAAAAGTACACCGAAGGTAGTGGGAGGGAGTGTGTGTTGAGAGCACGTCAGCCAGAGCTGTAGTGTGTGTGTGTGTGTGTGTGTGTGTGTGAGTGAGAGTGTGTGAGTGTATGAGTGAGACTACTGCCTGCTGAACAGAGGGTCGCCCAAAAAAAGTATCTGAAATACCGGTGTTTCGGCTACAAAAACCAGCCGAACTGATTTGAAACCAGCCCAATTTTTATCCACCCGTCCAAACCCGTTTACCCGTTGCAAAAGCACCCAATCTGGTAACCCTGTCTATGTTTGAAAAACGCAGACCTGTGGCAGTGCCACCCCGTGCCCCTGATCCAAAAGCACAGCAAAGACTTTAACAAACAATTTTTCTTTTCAACTTTCTATTCATTAAAGAATCCAGATTTTTTTTTTATATCACAGCTTCTCCCAAAAAATTAAGCTGCACAATGTTATAAAACTTAATAATAAATCAATAATAATAATCAATAACTCAATAATAATAATAGGAAATAATTCTTGAAGGATCATGCGACACTGAAGATGGGAGAAATGGCTGCTAATAATTCAGCTTTGCAATCACAAGAATAAATTAAATTTGAAAATAAATAAAATTGAAAACAGTTATGCATTGTACAAACCCGATTCCAAAAAAGTTGGGACACTGTACAAATTGTGAGTAAAAAAAAGAATGGAATAATTTAGAAATCTCATAAACTTATATTTTATTCACAATAAAATAAAAATGACATATCAAATGTTGAAAGTGAGACATTTTGAATTGCCATGCCAAATATTGGCTCCTTTTGGATTTCATGAGAGCTACAAATTCCAAAAAAGTTGGGACAGGTAGCAATAAGAGGCCAGAAAAGTTAAATGTACATATAAGGAACAGCTGGAGGACCAATTTGCAACTTATTAGGTCAATTGGCAACATGATTGGGTATAAAAAGAGCCTCTCTGAGTGGCAGTGTCTCTCAGAAGTCAAGATGGGCAGAGGATCACCAATTCCCCCAATGCTGAGGCAAAAAATAGTGGAGCAATATCAGAAAGGAGTTTCTCAGAGAAAAATTGCAAAGAGTTTGAAGTTATCATCATCTACAGTGCATAATATCATCCAAAGATTCAGAGAATCTGGAACAAACTCTGTGCATAAGGGTCAAGGCCGGAAAACCATACTGAATGCCCGTGATCTTCGGGCCCTTAGACGGCACTGCATCACACACAGGAATGCTACTGTAATGGAAATCACAACATGGGCTCAAGAATACTTCCAGAAAACATTGTCAGTGAACACAATCCACCGTGCCATTCACCGTTGCCGGCTAAAGCTCTTTAGGTCAAAAAAGAAGCCATATCTAAACGGGAACCAGAAGCGCAGGCGTTTTCTCTGGGCCAAGGCTCATTTAAAGTGAACTCTAGCAAAGTGGAAAACTGTTCTGTGGTCAGACGAATCAAAATTTGAAGTTCTTTTTGGAAAACTGGGACGCCATGTCATCCGGACTACAGAAGACAAGGACAACCCAAGTTGTTATCAGCGCTCAGTTCAGAAGCCTGCATCTCTGATGGTATGGGGTTGCATGAGTGCGTGTGGCATGGGCAGCTTACACATCTAGTAAGGCACCATCAATGCTGAAAGGTATATCCAAGTTCTAGAACAACATATGCTCCCATCCAGACATAGTCTCTTTCAGGGAAGACCTTGTATTTTCCAACAAGACAATGCCAAACCACATACTGCATCAATTACAACATCATGGCTGCGTAGAAGAAGGATCCGGGTACTGAAATGGCCAGCCTGCAGTCCAGATCTTTCACCCATAGAAAACATTTGGCGCATCATAAAGAGGAAGATGCAACAAAGAAGACCTAAGACAGTTGAGCAGCTAGAAGCCTTTATTAGACAAGAATGGGACAACATTCCTATTCCTAAACTTGAGCAACTTGTCTCCTCAGTCCCCAGACGTTTGCAGACTGTTATTAAAAGAAGAGGGGATGCCACACAGTGGTAAAAATGGCCTTGTCCCAACTTTTTTGAGATGTGTTGATGCCATGAAATTTAAAATCAACTTATGTTTCCCTTAAAATTATGCATTTTCTCAGTTTAAACATTTGATATGTCATCTATGTTGTATTCTAAATATAATATTGAAATTTGAAACTTCCACATCATTGCATTCTGTTTTTATTCACAATTTGTACAGTGTCCCAACTTTTATGGAATTCGGTTTGTAATAATAATATTTCACAATATTACAACATCACTGTTTGTACTGTATTTTCAATAAAATATACCCAATCGAATAAAACCTAAATATTGCTGACCCCAAATTTTTGAATTGTAGTGTATAAACCATTGATTCATTGAATTTCCTATTGTTCCATTTGACTCAAAACAACAAAAAATCCGCCATGTCTAGACAGGAAGTAGTGTGACGGCAGAACATCTTTGTGGTTCTGTGAAATCCAGCTTACAGTTCAGACAACAGATGTGTACAAAAGGTTAAAGGAAACTTACTCATCTCAGCCAGCTTCTGGATCAGCGTTGACTCGCCACTTGATTTGCTAAAAATAAACAAACAGCCTCAATGATTCACTAGATTCAAACTTGGAGAGATAAATGAAGAAAAATAGAACATAAATCCCACCTTCCATCAGCTTCATCTTGTCCATCCATGTCAAAGCGCAATCTCTTAAGTGGTTTGGGGGCGGCTCCTCCATCCAGACTCCTCTTGAGGGACCAATCAGTGCTACTCACCATCTGATTGATCTTTTGAAATTTGTCTGCAGACTATTAAGATTAAGAGAGAGTTTTTTTTAAAACAAGTCTTAACACATTTCAAATAGTTTGAAAGTTTAATAAGTGCTTTCCATCACTAACCCCAAAGGATTCGCCGATCGATATTAGAATTCTGTCCAGGACAACACAAAGAAAAGATTCAATGAGTGCAAACCAACACACATAAATCCACATAATCTGAAAGATTTTGAAGTTTACACTTTTCAACAAATATATAAAGGATAATAATCTAGTCAACCTCACTAATCATCTCGCCTCACAGTAAAAGAGAAAGTTCTTAAGTCAAGTTATTCATTGAACACACAATTCAAGGGTGTTAAGGTATTAAGATTTAATTCTGCACATGCCCAAAATTAGTAGACAATCTCCCAAATGTAATGACAGAAGTGAACACTAACCTGCTCCGTGGGGTCATGGGTACAGGGGACATGCGGCTGCTTTTCAATGGGGAGACGTAGACGTTATTGCTGCCGGGCACACGCAGAGGAGAGTTTTTATAGGGGCTGCAGGGGATGCGAGGAATGGGAGACAGAGGTGGCGGCTGGGAGACAAAAAGAAACATCCTCAAGTCAACCACAAGCTGTTGTAGAAATCATTTCGTTCAATTGAATATGATTTCAGGCCACTAGGGGGCAGTATAACACAAGAAAGTATTCAATAAAAGTTTAAAAGGGAGCATGTCTCACCCGAGGAGAGGAATATTGAAGAATGTTAGTCTTGAGCTTCTGCATGAAGACCAGATTGTAGAAGACAATGATGGAGTCGTACTGACCCTCTCTGATCAGCACACGCTTAAATGTCTGACACATCCGGACAAATCAAAGAGTTAAGTTGTTTTGTGTTTGTTAATATCACTTTCAATTCATTCTTAATATACTTGAATGATCATCTGAAACAAGTCATTTGACTCTCACCTCCTGATTAGCATTGGGCAGCTCTTTATAAGCGGTCACAATAGTTTTGAAGCGCAAGTCAACGTTCTTCACCTTGCATATGGCATACATAGCCGACATGATCAACTGCAATGAACAGAGGAGCAGGTCAAGTATCTAAGTCATTTTATTGTACATACTGCAAAGCTTAAAAAACTAATTCAGCATATTATAATGTTTATGAAAAAAATGGTCGTACCTGGTCTAAGTGTCTCTCTTGCATTAATTCGTACTCGTTCTGGAGGGTGTGCTGAAGCAGGGTCCATATTATAGGTTCCAGTTCTGGGTGTGAGGTCAGCAGGTGCGAGAACAGCGTTTTCAGTCGCAGGTAGGCCATCCTGTACACTGCCAAAAGCAAAACAACAACAAAAAACTGTTTTATCTCAACAATTTAGAAAAGTAGTATGTTATGTATTAATGACTCTCTAAAAAAAGAGAGTATTGCTTTAACTTACGCTTTTTGTAGAAAAGGCTCAGAGAGTTTGAACGGGGTGCATTGGTGCCTGGTGTTGGGGGCTCAGCCTCTGTTGACGGGGGGTGGCGGCTCGGCCGCACGGGAGAGAGATACCTGGGAAAGGTGAGAAGGTTAAATGAGTTAACATACTCATTTTGCCAATGAAAAGAGAAAAATGAGAGAGCTAATAGATGTCAGTGGCTAAAAAGTTTGGGGTCGGTATGATTTGTTAAAATGTTTTTAAAAGAAGTCTCTTGTGCTCACCAAGGCTGCATTTATTTGATTAACAATATAGTAAAAAATATGGTGAAAAATTATCACAACTAATAATGATTTTCTTTTTGAATATATTTTAAAATGTAATTTATTCCTGTGGTGGGAAAGCTCTGAAAGCTGAATTTGATCCTTCTGAAATCATTCTAATAATCTAATTTGCTGCTCAAGAAACATTTATTTTCAATTATTATCAATTTTGAAAACATTTGCGCTGCTTAAAGGGTTAGTTCACCAAAAAATGAAAATCATCACTGGATGAATTCGCGAACTGGACATCAATGGAAAAATCACGTCTATCGCACCGTGCTTAACGCGCCTGGAGGTTCTGCGGCGCGATGGACGCGATTTCGCCTCAATGCATCATTACATTGACTTAACATGGAAATCACAGCAGACACTCAATTTGCACTCACGCTCAATTTGCGTTCAGTGAGCTCGAGATCAGATCTCTGTGTGGAGCACCACCTATTGTCAGACTCCTTGTGCAAAAAAATCTCAAAGGATTATTACAAATAATGTCAAAAGGAATGTTTCCTATAATTCCTACTGACATATTACAGCAAAATATACAAATAACTGGCTTAAAACAATTTTTTGGGGCGAAAATATTAACGTGCCTAAAACACTTGCACAGTACTGTATATGTATTTTATTTAAATAAAATAGATATAAATAAACGCAACATGAATTTGCAAGATCTGAAGTGTCGACTGTTTCCCACCATCACGTGCAAAACTAGCACATGAAGCAACACGTGAAATCAGACCTAGTTTTACAGACAAGACTAACCACAGCACACAACCCCTAGGCCTAATAACCTACGAGCTTGTGTTAGCGACCTCAAAATTACCCAGGAGTGTTTTTGGTTCCCTGTTCAATCAAAAAGGAAGCACGCCACTTCGTTCTCACGAAAAGGTTTCTTGAAACTAGCATTAATCTCTTAATCTATACCTAATCTGACATTATACAATAGACAAGGCAAGTTTATTTAGTAGCTTTACCTTATACTGTTATTCATCAGTGTTGAAATTTGGGTCACTTCATGACTTTGGGAAAATGTGGGTCCCATGTGCCATGGAGAACCACTGAACTAAATTATAGGGTCAAGAGTCACTTTTTTTAAAATCAGAATAAACTCTCAAATAAACATATTTAGTAGTTCATGCACTTCCTGTGAATCTGACCATGATCTTGGTGTTGCTTGCACCATGCTCACTATATTTTGGCTATAAGTAGACCAATTATAAATAATCCTTTCAAAATGCCCAATAAAAGTCAAAGTCAAATCACATTCAGAAATGCTTTAGCAATTCCAGGAAATTTCAATGCCCTTTGGAAATGAAGAATCAGTGTAGACCACTAATATGCAGACATTGTGTACTGATTTTGTATAAAATGCTTGTGTGATATCTTATTAAAAAACAACTCAGTGGGCACTCTTGAATTAAGACACTTTTTAAAATTTCCGTGGCGATTTTTTTTACCCACGCTCCTATTAAATTCTAACCCTGGTAATTCTATCTTTCAACTTATTAGACTAATAGACTAGGCTACTGAAATGTGACAGTCCACCATTTAAAGATTTCTCTATTCAATTTGATGAAAATGTGTCATAATTGAAACTTGTAAATCTTAAAAAAAATATTTTTTGGGGTGTAAATCTTAAATCGCTGAATAAACTGCTTAAAGTTCCAGACTGAATCAGCTTTCCTGTACTGCGTTTACAAGGCGTGTTTAAGCCCCGTTCATTCGACATCAATCCCAATAGACATTTCCAAGCACTGTGTCATAAGTTCACTTCAGTATTCTGTGTTGCATCATAAATCTATGTATTGCAAAAGTCAGATTATGTTGATAAACAGGTTTATAATTCATTTTTGTCTCACAATGTGTTGAGTTCTGTGTGAGAAGCTTGAAAGGCAGAAGAGTGGTATGTAAATTAATATGACAGTAAGGAGGAGCGAAGGGAACTCTGAATGCGGCTGCGATTCGAGCGAGAAATGAGAGAGGTCTCCTGCTTGGGTCTGGAGCAGTAGATTCAGTAGAGAATGATTTAAAATCCACTCATACAGATATCTGCCTGCAAGAGGGGCACCTCAGCCCATGAGCGAAAGGGGGAGTGACAGAAAAATCAGATCATTAATTTGCATTTTCCATCAATGGTTATGCAATAACTTCCTATGTTAGAATGTGTCATATTTCCTCTTTAAGGCAAATTATTTTCAGGAATTGCAGCTAAAATGTACAACATTCAGTAGTGGTAGAGAACGACTTCAAAAGAATTGCTTCCTCGATTTAAACTAGCTAGCCCAAGTAACTAGCCCTTTCTTTTATACTTAGGCGACTGTATCCTGTTTTGAACAGGATAGAAATAGTTTTGAGAGATGACTCACAGATCAGCAGCGGTGTGGTTGTGATGCAGGGGTTGGTTCAATGTTGCGGGGGGCTCTGCTTGTTCACCAGGTCCTTCCTCACGGGACTGTTTCAGGAGGTCAAAGAGAGGAGAGTCCTACAGAGAAGAACAAGACAGAGTTACATCACGGATCTGAAACCGAGACTATTGCCAACTCAGTGAAAAGGGAACTGATTAGAGGATAGTCAGGATACAATGAGTCTTTTACTGAAAGGGTATACTTATACTTTTTGTCATTCTATTTGATCGATAAATCTATTCAATTCATCTGAAGAACTTTATTTACACACTCAAAACCTCATGATTATGCCTGCATGTAAATCAAGGTATTCTTTGCAATAAATAACTGATTAAATATTGGAAATAACGGAGATCCTTTAAAATAATACTTACTAAGCTAAATAATACCTTTCTTATATATATCTATATTTTTTTTTTCTTTTCTTAATTTAATATATTTAATATTGCATAAAAAGTGTTAACTTAAAATAAAAAATCTAAACCAATTGCAAATTTATATATTAATTTTATTCAAATAACCTCCAGGTTCGACAAACTGTAAATGAACTCTCAACACTTGATTTACAAGCTCAGAGTTTGCATATTGTGCTGTATGCGTGATGTCACACTGAGAACATGTAAACTTTGGACTGACAATCCCTCTTTGTATATACCTAGGAATCAATGGGCAATGTGCTATTACATAACGCACACAAGGCCAGAGAAAAGAACAGCCCAGAGCAACAGTTACAATCTTATTTTTCCCTACCCAAACGTGAGACATTTAAACTGACCAATCAGAAGATGATAACACCCCCACCGTACTTAGGGTGTGAAAATTAGCAGACTCCTAATATACATACAAATACAAGACCTACAGGCTTTAGGGCACTTCTCTGCTTCACACCTCCCTTGTAGGGGGATGGAAGAGGAAAGCAAAAGTCTTTGTTGATCTTCACCCTTACAACGTCCATTTTATATAATAAATGAAAGAAAGAATCAGTCTTTGGGAGACTTTTTTTAATTCATCCAGTATAGAATAACAAATAATTAAGAGATCATAAAATGAAAGCATTTAATAGTTAACAAATGTGATTTAACAGGAAATAGAGATCTTAACCTCAATATTAAAGAAATGTTGCTGGACTGTAATATGCTAAAACATCATTCACTAGGTGTGCAATCCAATAACACGTGAACAGTGTATAGAAAGTCATTCTGAAAGTGTGCTATGTGCAAAAAGGAAGAACGAGGGAGCTATAGATAGATATTTACAGAGGAGGTGGTTTAACCTCAGCCCCGCCTTCTCGCCTGCTTTCCAGTCCTCCACATTGATGCAAATCTCATTGTGTGAACTAGAGACTGAACAGCCGGTTGGGTACTAAATACCTCACATTGCTACAACAAAGTGCCAAACTATGAAGATCTTAAAGAGACACAGAAGATCATCAAGTCTCAGTAAAGGGAAGCCAAGAGGAGGAACAAGGCACTGAAATCAAAACTGGGCTGACTTTTTTTGTGAAGAAAATCAACTATGGAAGAACTATTCATCAAGGTGTAAAGATTGAAGTCTTATTAGCATCACAAATCTTGCGAGCACCTTGGAATTTCAGATATAAAGAGCAAACAACTACAAAACAACTTCCAGTGAAGATAAGGAGGCAGCTATTCATTGAAGCACGCACAAACGAATCTTAATCTTCCACCATACCTTGAGAAGAGAAAAAAGGTAATCTAACACAGCCTGTTTATGCAAATGTTTACGCGTGAACTTCCGTTGCACATTGACCGTAGGACATCGCAACATCTGAACGGTAAGAAGCTTCTTAAGGCAACCCCGTGAAATGTTTACAGACTGGATTTGTATACTTTTACATGGATCTCCATCAAATTTGATGTGGTTCTCTGACCTTTGAAAGCAACACAGGACAGTGACTCCTTTTAAGCCAAACAACATAAATGATGACCGATAACGAGAGTTGCCCCATCAAGGATGCTTTTAAATATGTGTTATACAGCTCTGTTTTCAGTATTGTCTTTATTCTCGGGCTTCTCTTCAACATGATGGCCATGTACATTTTTCTATGTAGACTGAAAATGCGCAACGAGACCACAACGTACATGATGAACCTCGTGGCCTCGGATACTCTCTTTGTCTTCAGCTTGCCTTTCAGGACGTTCTACTTCATCAATCGTGAGTGGCCTTTCGGTAAACCTCTCTGCCAAATCTCAGTGGCCTTGTTCTACACCAATATGTATGGCAGCATCCTCTTCCTCACGTGCATCAGCGTGGATCGCTTCCTGGCAATTGTTCATCCCTTCGCATCTAAAACATTGAGGACAAAGCGTAATGCTAGAATAGCCTGCTGTGTGATATGGGTGATTCTGCTGTCGGGGGGCCTAACGGCAGGGTTTGTGATGGACACCACATCATACACGGACAACAAAACCTCAACATACACGAACACCACATCATACACGGACAACAAAACCACAACATACACCTACTGTTTTGAGAACTACTCAAATTCGCAGTGGAAGTCCATGGTTTCAAAAGTTGTGGTGTGTATGGAGACAGTGGGCTTCTTGATTCCGTTGATGATCAACTTTACCTGCTCTATAAGGGTCCTGCAGACTTTACGACACCCAGAGTGCATTAACCGTGGAGGGCAGCTGAACAAGGCCAAGATCTTGCGTATGATTGCAGTGCACTTGTTAATTTTCTGTTTTTGCTTTATCCCGTACAATGTCAATCTGGTCTTCTACACCCTGGTCAGGAGTCAGGTTATTACGAACTGCACTGTGGAGACAGTGGTCCGGACCCTTTATCCAATCACGTTCTGCTTAACTGTGACCAACTGTTGTTTTGACCCAGTGATCTATTACTTCACCTCTGAGACGATTCAGAACTCTATTAAACGGAAGTCTTATGCTGTCCACCAAAACACATTAAACAACAAAGTTGACACCAGTGATAACAGAAGCAATTCGATGAATAAAAGCATAACTCTAAAAGCTAAATTCCTCATTGAAGAGTCTACAATTTAACCAAAGTTCAGACAGCCAAATTTTTTATACCAATTTTATACCAAATTTTCATCTGACAGATCCAGCCAATGTTAGTAATTGTTTGGCACAGGATATATTTGACTGAAGACTAACTGAAGACTGCAGAAATATAAAGCATATTTTTGGTGCTAAAAATGGATGTGCGTTTACACTGTGACCTGAACAAGAAAAAAACAGTATTTTTTAACTAAATGTTTCATTTCATGGCAGACAATAGATGAAATAAGCCTCAAGTAGTCTTGCTTCACATTAGAAGAGTCTAAACAGGAGCATTTTACAATGAGATTAAGTGAACATTAGTTAATGGATTAGGCATCATCAGTTAATTATAGAGACGTCTTTGTTTTTTTACAACATTCAATATTCCAGGTATGTTAGTTTATAAAGATAAATAATACTTTTTGTCATTGTTAATTCATGTGTGCTCAAAATACAATGTTATTTTATACAAAACGTATACATAAAAAATGTATAATAGCTCAGATTAATAAATGCTGTAAAACTGTAAAACTTGTGGCTGCTGTATTTTTCATTGTTATTTCATGTTAGCTCTTGCATTAACTAATTAATGCAAAGTGTCTGTTTTTTTAGATTTAAATGTACTATTGACTATTAAATTATTCATTAAACCTCTAGTTTATCCTTACCAAAACTCTCTTGTAACAAATGACACTGGGGTAAAAAAAAAGGTTCCCATAAAATTTTCCAAGCCAAGTCACACTTATATAACTCCATTACATCCATGCTCAGTATCAGGACAAACAGTGAGAGGAAAAGGGAGCGACCCACAGAGAATGATTACATTAACTGTGTGCTTTGGTCAACAGATTATATCAGGGTTGGTCATTGTAAGAAATTAAGCTGATGACGAAGAGGTCTGCAGGGTGTGGCTTCTTTTATGCGGTTAGAGATTTACCCAATAGTAGTTCAAGCAGTGTTTTGTTTTTTCAGTCTTTTTGTATATGAAAATTTCTGATTTTTATAATCTCTTATTTTAATTTTTAAATACAGTTTTTAATATATACCATGAAGGAAATGAATAACTCAAATCAAAATTCAAAATGCATTTCAGGAGCGTTGAACAGGTCTGAACGAGCCATGCTGAATTACACTCATTCCTCGCATGCCCAGGGGTCACGCTCTCAAACATTCTCAAACTGTACCTCTTAAGGGCATTTTAAACAGTATGTGATAGGCAGGCAGGCAGACACACACTGACAAGCCTAAGAGGTTACTATTAGGGCTGTGGTTCTCACGAGACAAGATTTTTGCACATTTTTTTTTATATTTTTCCAGTCAAAATTCACTGGAAAAATTGTCTGCAGGTGCCATTTGAAATGTTTTAACTAATAATCTTGTAATGAATGCCATTTTTCAGTTGTACTTTATGAATATGAATTATCAAATGCACTGGAAGACAACAACATACAAGCAGTGTAAAAGGTTTTGCCACATACTTTTACACATACCTTACTGTACATGAAGGCGTAACGCTATCCAGCTCGTCGGGAGTAGATGGGGTTAGGTGTCTTGCTCAAGGACACCTCGACCCTTTGGTCAGGTGGAAGCGGGGATTGAACCACCGACCTTCCGGTTTGAAGACAACCTACATGAACCACTGAGCCACTGCCGCCCCACAGGAAATATACAGTCATGGTCAAAATTAATGGCACCCCTGGTAAATATGATGAAAACTGGCTATACAAAATAATTCTGCATTGTTTATCCTTTTTATCTTCCATTCAAAAATTGGCAAAATTCTAACCTTTCATTGAAGCAAAAGAATTGTAAATCACACTGTGAAATAAATGTTTTTCTCCAAAACACTCATACACACCATAATTATTGGCACCCTGTTAAAAACTTTTTGCAACCTCCTTTTGCCAAGAAAACAGATCTGAGTCTTCTCCTATAATACCTGATGAGTTTGGAGAACTCCTGACCAGAGATCAGAGACCATTCCTCCATATAGACTCTCTCCAGATTCCCAGATCTATGTTGGTGCTTCATCTCTTCAGTTCACTCCACTCATCAGGTCAGGGTCTGGGACGGTCATGGCAGAAGCTTCATTTTGTGCTCTGTAACTAATTTTTGTGTTGATTTTGATTTTTGTTTTGGATTATTGTCCTGATGGAAGATCCAACCTCGGCCCATTAAAAGATTTCTATCAGAAGGCGTCAGGTTTTTTTTTTTTATCTCTTTGTATTTGATAGAATCCATAATACCATGTATCTGAACAAGATGTCCAGGACCTCCAGCAAATAAATAGGCCCACAACATATAAAACCCATCAGTATATTTAACCGTAGGCATGGGGTACTCTTCATCCCTGTTTGCACCAAACACATCTGCTGGGTTTGCTGCCAAAAAGCCCCTTTTTTAGTTTCATCTGACCATAGAATCCAGTCCCTTTTGAAGATCCAGTCGTGTCTGACACCTGAATATACTGGAGTCTGTTTTTGGAGGAGCGAGGAGCATTTTTCTTGAAACCCTCTCAAACAACATGTGGGGATGTAGGTGTTGTTTGATATTTTTTTAATAGGTTTTCTGACCCCAAGACTCAAGTAATCTCTGCAATTATCCATTTGTGATCCTTGAAGAACCTTTGGACACTCAAACTTTCATTCTCACCATCCATTAAGGCAAAATAGACACATGTCCTCTTCCTGGCAGAATCATAACATCTTTAGTTGATTATAACTTCTTAATTATTGCCCTGATGGTCAAAATGGGAATTTTCAATTCTTTAGCTATTTTCTTACATCCACTTTCTATTTTGTGAAGCTCAACAATCTTTTGACATCAGAACCATGTTCTTTGGTTTTATTCATTGTGATGCATGATTCAGGGAATTTGACCTTTGTGCTTCCTCATATTTAAACTCCTTGAAACAAGAAGTCATAGCTGGACAATTTCATGTTCCTAGTCACCCTGATGTGCTTAAAAAAATAAATATTAATGGGAATGTACTTCAGAGATATTTTTCTCATAAAAAATTCTAGGGGTGCCAACAATTATGGCCAGAGTGTTTTGGAGAAAAAAATTTATTTCATAGTGTGATTTACCCCCACTTTCAATTCTTTTGCTTCAATGAAAGGTTAGAATTTTGCTAAGTTTTTGAATGGAAGATCAAAAGGATGAACAATGCAGAGTTATTTTTTACAGCCAGTTTTCATCATATTTACCAGGGGTGCCATTAATTTTGACCATGACTGTATATATATATATTTCCTGTGTAGTGCTAAACATATAAATGGACCACAACATATTGTCTCAGGAAAGTCCAGCAAGAAAATGACTTGTACACAAGTTGCCAATCACAACACACTTCGTAGCACATTTTGTATCATAGAAGATTGTAACCTTTTCATTCAACTAGACTGAGGAGTAGTCATTCAACTAGACTGAGCAGTAATAATGTAAATAATTATAAAAAAATACATAAAAAAAAAAAATAATCACACTGCTACACTCACAAATCATTTTTGTAATTTCAACAAAACCTCACATTTATGCAAGCCAGTTGGATAACATCAAATTGATCAACATCAAATTACCAGAATTCACAACAGAAATGTACAATGTCACAGAAAACCAAAAATAGATTTACAAGAGCAATGTAAAATTTTAACATTTACAAACTGATTCTAAAATCAATGGAAAAAAGCTATATGAATTGTTCGTTTAAAAAATAATAATGATTAAGTAACAGAAGTGAAATGCTTACTGAATGAATTTTAGCAGTCATTAGTCTACTTCTGTATGAAATTTTAAATGTGGGGGGGAAAAAAACGTCATAAAAAATTGTCAGTATGATTTACAAAAGGTTCAGGCTAAACGTGTTTTTGCCTACTATTTCAAAGAGTGTACATCTGTATCCAGAGCTGAACTACTATATCAATAATAAATCCACACACCCCCATCCAGATATGGAAAGATATATAGTACATGCGCACACACACACACACACACACACACACACATTTATTGATTTAGTGTGACAATACATTGTCTTAATAGCTGTTAAAGACACCTTCACTTAAGCATGAAAGCGAACAGAGCATGTTCAACTAGCCAAGAGAGATCACAGAGAAGATTCAGATAAAAATGGATAATAAAGCAAAATGGTAAGTTTATTCCATGTATTTTATCTGTGCTATCTAAAATTTAGATCATGCCATCAACAATTATTCCATGACGAATGGCTTGTTATCAGTTTTATTTTAGTCTCTCCTTTACGCACTCAATTTTATAAACTAGTTCTACCTAAAACTACCACTATATATGCATTTCTGTTAATGCATTATTACAATGATTATTTTCAGCACAGTTAAAATATATTTTTAATAAAGTGCAAATAAAAACACTTAAAAATAAACTGAATTTCCATTTCAAGTATATTTTTCCAAAATATAAATATTTTTTAGAAAATATACTGAAGTACAATCATTAAGTGTGTTAAAAGTTGTATAGTGAAAATGGGTAAAAGCTTGATGCTAATATACTTTTAATACATTTAAAGATGTTAGTATATTTGCAATGTACTATTGAAAAAGGGAATATTTCAATTACAATTAAGTACTTTTTTTTTACTCGGGATAGCATTTAACAGGCTGTATATTGAGCCACATAACTATACTTTAAAAAGGGGATCGAATTATTTAATTAACTCATGTTTTAAACATTACAAATACGTTGATAAATTAAATATGGATTATTTTATGCTGCCTTTTGTTGGAGAAATTTTAATCTTACATTGATCAGTAGTAAGAATAACTAGTAAGTATAACTCTGGGTCATGTGTTTCTATCGAACCTTTATGTATGTATGTTTTTAATCTTCTTTTCACTTTCAGTAGATACTGCAAAGGAATGTGATATGGTTTTACCATTTGTAGAGGGATAAGAGACTGAAATTTGAAATTAATCTGAAATTTATGTTTATATACCTGAGAAAGCAGGAGCGTGACACTCCCAAAACCAGACGAGCAAAGACTAGTCAATCTAGTCAAAGGGGGCTTACAAGGGTTAGTTAGTAATAATTATGAATAAATCTTTAGACAGTATGGGTCCTTTGTCTCTGGGAAATTACTGAAAGGCGGTCTATAGCAAACAGCCTTGGAAAGATCTGTATAATGATTGCTCTGATTTTGTGTCCTGGGTGTCACTCTCTTGCACAGTATAATGTAAGAATAGATACTTCTCTTTTTATTTATCAGACTCTGAGTGTCACGATAATGTTGAACAGCATTTTTTTTGTATGCTGTGATGATGTTGAGCAGAATTTTTGCCACAACACTTTGTATCTATACCTAAACATTTCTAAAAATATTCAAGTATAGCAGACACAATTAAGTTTTCAATTATTTTAACATGGATAAGACAAGTTTAAATGTGCACATTTACAGTGTGTATAAAATCACAGGCAGTTTAACATTAAATGAGTAGTTCACTTTAAAAAAAACTTTTGCTGATAATTTACTCACCCCCATGTCATCCAACATGTCCATGTCTTTCTTTCTTCAGTCGAAAAGAAAATAAGGTTTTTGGTTACCAGTTTGGTTACCAGTAAAGTGCATTATGTGGAGAAAAATCTTGGAATGTTTTCGACTGAAGAAAGAATGACATGGATATCTTGGATGACAAGGGGATGAGTAAATTATCAGCAAAAGTTTTTTTTAAAAGTGAACTACTCCTTTAATGACACTTCTACAGTCCTTTACTAGTAACGCTGGCTGCTTTTTAAATAAACCCATCCTCTGTCATAATTCAATCACTTTCCCTTTCCATTTCATAATCTCAGGTCATATAGACATAGCTGTCAGAGCAGGTGGTTCACTTTATATGAAGAGGAAGTTGTAACTTTTCAAATTTCCTTTTACACTTTCAGGTGACTGTTTGAAGAGGAGTCATTTGGACTTCAAATGATGTAACCAAAAAAACGGCTAAAAAAAAACACACACACACACACACCCCTCTCTTTTTTCCTAAACAAGTAGTGTTATAACGGTAAAGCTATTGTCCCTCTCGCGAAAAAAAAAGATTCCACATTTGGTTCTGGACCAAAAGAGGCAGGTTTTGATTGATACAAACGAGGGCCACCCAAGCCGAAAGTGATCATGGATCTCCATAACACAACATACACATCTATTCAAGCCAACTGCACGGTGGACACCAGCTACCGTTTCACTTACTACAAGATCTCCTACAGCGCAATCTTCATATTCGGTCTAGTCAGCAATGCCACAGCGCTACGGCGTTTCTGCCACATGCCTCGAACGTTCACCAGCACTGCCGTCTACATGGCCAACCTGGCTGCTGCGGACATCTTCTTTGTGATCTCACTACCCTGCGCATCTATTATTACCACAACAAAGCCGCCACCTCCAACAGCACCAGCGACTGGTCTCCAGGAGGGGCTTTCTGTCAGATGACCTTCACGTTGAAGTATATCAGTCTATATGGAGGGATCTTCTTCCTGGTTTGTATTGGAGTAGACCGCTACTTTGCTGTGGTTAACCCTCTACTTCAGCACCTGAGAAAGGTCCGAACTGCCCGCATGCTCAGCGCCGGGATCTGGTGCCTGGTCCTAGCCCTCAGCCTCGCCCTACTATTCCTGCATTCGGCGCATCCCGACGGCACAACTCGTGCCTT